TGGTCAGACTCAACGCAGGTGGTCCAATAGGACCTGCAATTTTGCACTGAGCCACGCCAAATATGCCTTGCTCAAAAGTCTTGAGTACCCATTTTGAAAACTGTCTTTCTCAGCTGTCTATTTTTCGCTACGTGAAGTGGTGTTCGTCAGGGTTGCCCTCTCTCTCCATTTCTATTTAACTTTGTTATAGATTTGCTTATGGATTTCTTCGTGCTAGAATGGCGGCATCGATATACTTCCAGGTGGCAGACTGCCTGATCTTGAGTATACAGACGACGTTGTGCTACTTAGTGATCATCCAGGTAAGTTGCAAGCTTTTCTGGATAGTTTGAGTGCTAGTGTAGCGATGTTCGGCATGCGCTTTGCACCTTNTGCTCCATAATTGGGTTGGTTCAGTCCCCAGCCTCACCCTGACCGAGGAAGTTGTAGAGAAAGTAGAGCAAGTGGATAAGTTTTGCTACCTAGGCAGCTATATCTCACCTGGTGGACGCATCACAGGTGAAGTGTCGGCGCGCATACAGAAAGCTCGGTTGGCATTTGCCAACCTGAGAGATCTGTGGCGCCATCGCGACATCCGGTTGTCTGTGAAGGGTCGAGTGTATGCTGCAGTAGTTCGGCCAGTTCTGCTTTACAGCGCAGAGACTTGGCCATTATGGGGACAGGATAAAGACAGATTGTCGGTGTTCGAACACCGCTGCCTACGTCGCATTGCACGAGTCTGGTGGGGAAACCAGACGAACAGTGCTGATGTTAGAGAGAGAGTTTTAGGTTATCGCGGTCGTCCACTGTAGCAGGTAGTCAACCTCCATAGATTACGCTGGTTGGGGCATGTGTTACGCATGTCATCAGATAGGTTGCCACGGCGAGCGATGCTTGCCGAGGCAGGTAGCGGTTGGGAAGATGAAGGGCGGTCAACCTAAGACCTGGCATGAGGATATGAAAACCCTGACCAGGAGGCTGACTAACATAGGTCCCGTTAGTCTCCCTAGATAAGGACCCGTATATCATGGTCACCGGTGGTTACAGACAGCGATGTGGCTAGGTGTCGCTAACAGTGCCGCTCACGCATCTACTCATTATTCTTGTAACTTCAGTCTAAGAAAATGTGCTACCTTTCGCCTAAATCTGCTCTCAACATTCTAATCATCATTCCGCTATTTTATCCAAAAGACAGCAACCAAAACCGGCGCACGAAAGTGCATGGTTAATGGTTGTAAGAACTGAACAACTGTTCTGAGCGATGGGGCCCAAAACACTCCATAACTGGATGGTTAGAGACGGTGAAGGTCATGGCAGGAAACCGACAGCAATGGCATTGTTACTTGTTTAGGCCAGAATGCCTAAAAAGTTGTGTATGCACAGTTGGACTGTGCTGTCTGTGTGTTGACCATAGAATTTCAATCCCCCCTGCGCTCAAAATAGACCCACTCCCTGTCCTTACACATTCTCACTTACCTGGTACGCATTATTTGTTTCGCTGCAATCAGTGAAGTTCGTTTCACTGTATTCCGCTGTATGATGAGGATGATGACGATGATCAGTGCATGTTGAAGACAACGACCTAAATCGCTTAATTACCACGAAATAATGTGTATGGTTTACGGCAAAGTTTATCTAAATTCGTCACTTCCATCGGCATTTTTGAATCCGATTTTTTTTTGCATATTCATCTAACGATTATGTACATACAACTGGAGGTTTTGACTTCATATTTTTTTAAATTTGAAAAATGCTAGGCGGATCTTTTGCCAACATGCAACAGTCTTTACAACAACAAGTGATGCAAAATCCAGAACTACTCCGAACGATGTTAGACAATCCCATTGTGCAATCTCTCATGAGCAACCCCGATGTTTTGCGAAGCCTTTTTCAAGCCAACCCGCAAATGCGAGAACTAATGGAGGTAGGTTTCCTGATTATCAATGAGTCAGTGCATTCATAATGTCCTAAGTTCACTTAGCTCATTTCATGATATTAACTTTCATTTTATCGAGTGCTTTCATACGTAGTTCACACCGTTGGATTGAGCTAGGTTACACAGGCAGTTTAACGTAAACGGAATTTGAGAAAAAATTAGATTAGAAACCTATTCTGGAGAACAAAGATTTGAATGAGTTAATCCGAGTTTCATGTTCGAGTTTCAGTTAATTTCACGACTAACACTCAACTTTACCCATCGAACCGATCTTAATGCTAGTATTCAGATACCTTTTGAATTACCAACTATATTTGGTAACTGTTGCTACTGTTCGATGCTATCATGAACATGCTGGACTCCTGATTTTCCACGACAATTGGTTTTGAGAATCATATATCATTGATTATTATTATTATTATTAATTTTATTATTATTTCAATACGTAACCAATTACAGAGAACTGGCAAGTATGCCACTACATATGAACAAAAAGAAATCTATAAAATGCATTCAAAGGTTGTGTAGGTATGTTACTTCCCGGTTGCCCTTACTGAAGACGGGATGTAATCTCGGGGTTCCCACCCCAATCCTCTGACTAGAAAGCCAGACCTGCAAGACAATAGGAAGGGGCTCAGCGTACACAATCCATTGGTTGCCGTTGTCCAGTTTGTTCGATCATACGCCCTTTGGACGGCGTCCAACGTCGAAGGTGCCCATTTGAGCCGGTGACCACTGCCACAGCCAGGAAGGTGTATGGTTTCCACACCTCTTCTTGGTTGGTTTGGAATCAGGGTTTTTAGCCAAATCCCGTAGATGAACTGCCAATGGTTAACCAACCCGTTTATAGCCCCGAATTTCGGCTTTTCATTCTCTCACTTTGGTGGAAAAACACCGCACCGGGGAGGCAGTGAGCAGTGCTTTCTCAACAAAGGCTATTTGAGTCGCTTGGTCATATGGGAGAATTTCGCGAGATGAGGGGATGGTGACCCGTCACAATCCGAGACACCCACCCCGACCGTACGGAGACTATCATTAATAACTCTAAGTCATGTTGTGTGGGCATGTCGATCTGATATCGTTTATGTTTCTTCGGAATAATAACCAAAACAACTAATGCCTTCAATAGTTGTCATTGAGCACACCACCGTTACTGTTTATAACTTTAGTGTTTTCGGGTATTTAATAGTCCATTTCAAAACTCTACCGGGGTCGATTGGCCGCATCAATTATCCCAGATCTTTGTTTCCATAACTTTTATTGCACACAATGCAGCGTAATCCTGAGGTTGGACACACGCTGAATAACCCAGCTCTATTGCGGCAGTTGATGGAGGTTGCACGCGACCCTGTTATGATGCAGGAGATGATTCGAAACTACGATCGAGCCCTGTCCAATTTAGAATCAGTTCCCGGAGGTATGAATCATCTCCAACGCATCTTTCGAGATATCCATGTGCCACTGATGGATGCCGCTGCAAGCATGGGACCCGGTGGTTCCAACAATCAATCCTCTACGGCATCGTCGAATCCCTTTGCAGACTTAGCGGGTAAGTCCGTTCAACGCTTATGTGTGCAGCATTTGTTTCGTGCTCCATTGATCGCCCATAGTGGAAATGATATTAGGCTAACACACAGAAAGGCGACAATTTAGGGACCTTGGCTGAAGGTAGGAGTTCGACTTAGATTCTTCAGTGTAATGAAAGAAATAACGAATTCTTTCGATGAAGAGTCATTTGATACACATTCTATTTTTCACGGAAACTTTGTTTTTGAAGTATACTATATATATATATATATATATATATATATATATATATATATATCATAATATGTAGTATGTGAATGGTT